GCTTCCGATGAGCCCCAACACTTCCTCCAAGATGCATCCGAGAGGCATCCCGCGATGTCCCGACGAACATTCAGGAAACCTTTAACAGTGGCGGGATAGGCCGTAGGCCGCCGTACATACATACAGGCATACATACATATATATATATATATATATATATGCATACAGTTAGTTACAACAGCATGCCCCCCCCACGCAAAACCGAAGACGTCGCATGGGCACATAGAGGCCCTGAACAACAATGGATGGGATGGCCCACGTACCGCGCGCCCCAGAAACTGTAAAGGCATCTCCCAGGATGGGCAGGGGTAGCGGGGGTAGCTCAAAGGGGACGGGCAGGGGGTAGCTCGAAAAGGACTGGCAAAGCATCGCCCCTCCCCACCCCAGCTATTCTCCCCCGCCGTGTCCTCGTCCCATCCCGCCCCCCCCCTTCCACAAACCATTCTCCCCGCCCCCCTCCACGCTCACCCCTTCTCCCCCTTCCTCCATTCCCCCTCGCCACCTCAACGACCTCCGCCATCTCCCTCCGCCGTTCATCCCTTGCCCCGCCCCTCATCCCCCTCCTTGCCCTCGTCGACCTCATCCGAGGCTCAAGCTTGCGCTTTAAGCACCCTTCCCTCAAGCCTGCAAGTCCCAAATGCCGTCATCGCGAACCCGCTCCAGGCGCATCTTATGGTACGTCGGCCTGTAGGGCTTCAGGTACAGGACGCCCGCGTGGACCACGAGCAACCCATCGGTTTCCAACCAATCTCGCTCCGCGCCGAGCTCGACTAGATCGGCAGGTAGAGGCGGAAAGATCGCCGCGAAGATACTCCCATTCACCAGTAAAGGAAACTGTGTCGACTTGCGCGGAAAAGCCTTCTTCATCACGCGTAGCAGTGCATTGCGAATAGAGTAGAACTTCTTGCCCTCGCCGTTGCAAATGCACCGCCCGAGCTTCCAGCAGCGCATCTGCTTGTTGAAGTCCTTCGGCTGGTCTGCAATCCTCTCGCAATCGCCGTGGCACGCGATGTTGTGACGACGGTGCCAACTCGCCGTCAGAGCTGCCGTATTCGAGGTGCCTCCCGAACTTCGCGTCGTCTGCGACGCGCAGGTGGCCTTCGCAGCCGTCGAGCCGATGTCGGGGGCGAACTCCAGGTCGGGGCACGCTCGCTCAGGTAGGCGCTGAAGATCTTCAGCGACAGCTGCGAGAGGAGGGGCGCCGCCGACAGCGAGTCGAAGAGCTGCCTCGTCCACCGCGAAGGTCTTCAACTTGGAGACCTTATCCCTGCAGTCCTTGGCCTTCATCCTGCCGATGTTGTACGTTGCGGATCTAGCAGCAGCCAGCGCAGATGCGTTGTCAACCTGCGTGGCGACGATCTGGTTCGCTGCAACAACCTCCATCGACGGGCCCTCGCTACTCGCAAGGCTGCCCAATTGAAGTGTGAGTTGGGCCCGACGCTCTGCGGCAATCAGTCGTGCCTCTTGCTTCGAGTTGTTCCCGAATGAGCTGACATCTGGATGCTCTCGGTGCGCGGCCGTCGCAGCGCGCCCAGCCGTGATGTACTTTTCCTTCTGGTCGGCGTCGAGTTGTCGGTATTGCACCGCCAGCTGCGCGAAATCCTTGAAAACCCCAGGCTCGCTCATGGCAGCGAAAGCTCTCCAGGCGCCGCCGCCTCCCCGAGGCTTGCGAGGCTCATCGTCCTCCGCTGGCTCTGCGCTGTCTGCGTCCACGAAGGTCGTCCGAGTAAGGCCTGCAGAGTTTTTCGCCCGCGACCTGCAGCGGGAGGCAACCCACTCCGCCGAGGCGGCAGCGATCTCTATGGCGTGGGTCTGGTGGCTCGCAGCGACCACGAGGCGCCGAATGCTGGCGTGGGGGGCTTCGATGTGGGAGATATCCAGCTTCGCCATGGCAGCGATCGACAGCAAGCGCATCCTGGCGTCGTCTGCGCTGAGGTCGGGGTTGTCTTGCAGGAACTGCTTCGTGAACTTGCCGAGGACGCACTCGCTCTCCGACTCGATCGTCGCGGCCATGTGCGGGTGGTGCAGTACCAAGAACAAACGGTAGGGGTACTTCTGATGCAATTCCCGCACGGGCTCTGCCACCAAGCACCCAGCGCGAGATAACATCTTGAACGCTAGCGCATTCGTCTGCTCCGTGCACTCCTCCTCCAAGACGAGTGACCACATGGCAGGTTGGGTGAGTAGCGTTTCTAGCTTCTCGAAAAACTTGTCCTATATCGTCCCCTCGGCGGCGGCCACAATTGGATAGTCCCTGCCAGTAGTAATGTTTCCAGCCAGAGGTCCAGCATTCGATGCAGAGGCCAACTCGCGAACCCGCTGCTCCCTTTCCCATTTTGGACTCCCCAGGTCCAGAAGGCGGCCCATGATGTCGGATAGTGGAACCATCGTCAACCTCATGATGATAAGCGGTGTCATCGGCTTGCTCAAGACCCAATTGATGCCGACTTGCCTGTCCTTCGCGTTTTCCTCTGCCCTGAACTGGCACACTGGCTGCTGGCGCAAGTCCTCGTCGCGTCGATCTCCGTCGGCACCCCCTTCTGTCATCCCCGACGTTTGCAGGGTCATCTTCGCCCTCGCCAGCTTCGCCGTCGCCGTCTCCACCATCGCCAGAGGGCAGCATGAGCAGCGGTACTTCGGCGCGCGGGGCGGCGCGCATCGCCGCCGATGCATTGCTGGAAGCCTTCGCGCCCATGCTCTTCGCCCAGATGGGGTACGCCTTAGTCAGAAGCCCGTGACATAGCTCCTGCGACAAGAATTGATCGATGCACGCGTCGGCACCCGTCCACTTGTCCCGCGGGTACAGCTTAAAAGCAGAGGGCGCGAATACGAACAGCAAACCTTCGGTCACTGATGTCTTGTACTTCGCCTTGTACGCGTCGAGGTCGACACCGTCAGGAAACGCTGGCACGTACACCTCCACGTTGGATCGATTCCTCCAATCGCCATTCGGAAACTTGTTCAAGGCAACGAACTTCTGGATGACGAGCGAGCCCGATGAGCTCAACAGCCTGAGCGCCATCCTCCTGTAGAAAACTGCCTCTGGCGGAGGAGCTCCAACTTTGAACAGAATCATGCTCCCGATGGCCTCGCGAAGAACTTGTCGAAATGAACCCATGTGTCCAGCCAGCTTGAGTGACAGCGCGCACCTCACCATCCCAGTAACATTCTCTGTGACAAGCTTGAACGAGTTCTTGTGCACCAAGCTGGTGATGTGAACTTCGCAGTGCAGGTGTAGGTGCTGCCAGCCTTGTCTGTCTTTTTCTGCAATGCCACGTTCGCACTTGATGCAACCCCCACCCTGGTCGGTCGTGACGAGACGAACCCGTTGTTCATGCAGCTTGTGCGCCAAACTCACTGACCAGAGCAATCTGAGGGCCCCGCGAGTGGCCCCGCCCGTGTTGCGATCAATTACTACCAAGTGGTTGAGGGTAGAGGAATGCACGAATATGTATCGCTTGGCACCGCCGCTCTCTACCTTCAACAAGCATGCATATCGAGAATCAACTTGGAGCATCTTGGCAATTGACGCTTCAGTGCGACTTTGCTGGATGAACGCTGGGAGCTCCGAAGGAATCACGACACCATCCTTGACGCACTTGGGGTTCAACACTGCAGCGAAGTCCTGAAGTAGCTCAATATGGTTGTTGAAACTGCAATCTCTGAGTTTGAACGGCATCGGACTCTCGTCGTAAAACTCGCACTCTATATAATAAAGTGGCTTCACCCTGTCGCAGGATACCAAAGACTTCTCTAAGCTATGGCGGCGAAGTCTGTCATATACGATTGCAAATTCCGCCAACTTTCTGGTGATCTTGACCGTCTTCATGCGAGATGAACCTGCCAGCTCCGTCTCGCTCGTTTTGGTCATCATTTAAAACGACACAGAATCGTCGAACCTGCGCTTGGCAACCGTATACACCGCATCGTCATGAGGAACATCATACTTGCCATTTGTGTGCACAGCCCCGATGAAAGCGTCCACGTGCTTGTAGATCGGGCTAAGGACGAAGGGCACGGGCGACATCTGAACTATATCCTGAAGCATTCTCGGGCTGATGCTTGTCTCGTCCAACCTCCGTTTCTTATTCTGGCTGGACGAACTATTCGCATGGGCAGGCACGTGGACTCCAGCGCCAGGGATCTGGAAAGGGACAATCGCCAGGCCGTGGAGAGGCGCGCCATCCATGCGCTCCCACGGAGCAACTGATGGTGTGAATATGGAGTGGCGCGCGAGGCCGCGCGCACAAAATATGGATGGTATGAAGAAAATCAAACTTGCGTACACGGTCATGGCCGTACTCGCCGCTGCAGCACAAATGGCTCTGGCGCCCCTGGGAACCTCAGGAGGGCGCCCTTGGAGACCTTAGGGGGGGCTCTGGCGCCCTTGGTGACCCTGGTTTCCCGTCAACGCTGCCCTTGGAGACCTTGAGGGGGCTCTTGGCGCCGTAGACCTTAGACGGCCTCTTTGGGACCCCATCCAGACTCTGGGGAAAGAGCTGCCGTAATTCATCCCGTGGCATAGCATAGAATAGCGCGCCATAGCAACACAATAGAAACGACGCAATGGAATTCATAGCGAAGTATATCTGTGAATTCAAAGACACGGCACGACGCAACAGTACCAATGATGGCGTAGCGCAGCACAACATATCATAACTTATCACACTGCCGTAAAAATAATATGCATCGCACGCACTACAATCGAAAGCTTCCGAGCAACGAGTAAAAAAAGAGTACTTGGGGAGTATGTTGGCAAGGGTGAGGCGGGAGTATTTTTTGAGTATTTCCTAACATGTCCCCCTGTAGGGGACGCAAACGTCTCGGTACCAGGCCCCTTGTAGCGACTTGAAACTCACATGCTTGAGGGCGAGCGCCCCTGACCCAAGCAAATGAGCCACTCGCAGTGCCACTGGGGGCAAACCTTTAGCACACGGCACCTGAGCTATGCCGCAAAGGGGGGGGGGAAACCTGCCGCCCCGCCCCGGTCCATGGAGAGCCGTACGTGTTCTTCTCCAGAATCTCCTTGCCGCCGGGGCGGTGCTGCCGCCTGCCGGTGATGCCGCCGGCTCCGCCTGCAGGGGGGGAGATCCGTGGCCTCCTCGCGTCGTTTGCAAGATCGCGACGGTAGGATTTGGAGCGCCTGGGAGCACTTGGGCCTCAGAGGCCCCTCAGTGTCCCCCAAGAGGCACCTAGAAAGCCCCCAGGGGCCCCAAGAGGGCCTCAGGACGCCTCCTCTTCTTCTTCTTCTTCTTCCTCCTCCTCCTCCTCCTCCTCGTCCTCCTTTTCTTCCCTCTCCTCGTCCTTCCTCTTCCTCCCCCAAGCGCTTCCCCAAGGGGTTCCACAACGGCTGGGGGAACACGTAGTCACATAGCTTGGCCAGACTTCGGCCCAACGTTTGGCCGCGTGGGCGTTTCCAAAAGGCAGGGGGCGGCGGTGATTCGCCGTAGGCGTCTTCGATACGTTGGCCAACCCACCGGTTGCACCCGCGCAGTTATTTCGAACTCCTCTTCGCTCGGCCAATCATTGGCACATCTCGCAGCGAACGCAACAAAAACGCCAGCTGACTTCTCCAGCTTCCGATGTGTTCATTGGCGCGCCTTCCTCGCACCTGCCATCCACCACTGCTCGCCCCATCTCAAGCCACTCAGCTGGTCAAACCGAGTCGCCGAGCCCCAATCCAGCCTGCCCAATTTTTTACCAAAGCTGCTCACTGGATAGCCGAGTCATCCCTCCACCCTCACGCCTCGGCAAAGTCCACAAAGGAAGGCTGCCTAACGTCGCGTGCTGCAGCTTCGAGGCTCGAGTGCAACACCCATCGATCGCGGTCGCAAAGCTCTGCAGCGACCCCCCTGCAGTCGTCGATGGCAGTACAGTCATCGCGCTACCATGAAGAGCGCTGAACAAAAGAAAGGAGGGGCTTTCCTGGCCACGGACAGCCTCGGCAACGAATAGGTCCATCGACCTAGATCCAAGGAGCGGACGTAAAACCAGAGTTTCTCCTGAGCCCGAAGTGGTCCTTCTCTCAGCGTCTTGACTGTATGAAGCCGAGAGAAAGGGGAGTGGAAGGGAAGTGGGAAAAGGGGAAAGAGGAGGAATTTGAGAAATGGAGACGATGGGGGTTGGGAAGGGGGAGCTCCAGGGTGAGGGGGCCCTCCCTCCAGAAGGCGGGAAAAACTGTCCAAAACATGAAAGCCCGATCCTCAAAGGGATTCCATCATAATCCGTTCAACACGGATCGTCGGACCCTCATGGAGTTATCCGAGCGGTGTCCGGCCGCCGGCGACCGAAGCTTCCGGAGATGCCCGGCAATCTCCAAAACGACAGCGTCGTCGACGCCGACGACGTCGCCGTCATAGAATCGAGGAGCGGGGGCGACGACGCCGTCGGCGACGACGTCGCGGCGGGGGTCCCGAAAACACCACTGGGTCCCACGCGGCGTGACTAACGGCCCGCCTTCGTCCCGACCGGCGCGGCGGTCCTTCTTGCTGCCAGCGGCTGGGGAGCGGCAGGGGGGACGCGCTGGCAGTCAGAGATGCAGGGGGAGAGAAGACATGAGAAAGGCCATAGGAGGGGGCCGAAGAGGAGCGGCAGGATGGAGGAGAAGGACTCCAAGAAGGGTCCACCTGTTCTGAACAGATTCTGGCACGAAATTTGACAGCACATTCGTCGTGAAATTTTAAACTTCCCAGGCGGCAGGCGGCCCCAGTACTTATTTGGCCACTGGGCCATCGAGCGATACTGAAGGGACACTTACTGGCATGCTGGATTCTTGTTTGATGTGCCTGCTGTACAAATGCGAGCAGAAAGTAGGAGGCACTCGCCAGGGCAGCGTTGGTGAAGAGGGCTGGGCACACCTTTGATCCGCCTCGCGCGAGATGTGCTGGAAGTCTCGTCGCTGTCCGCCGCGCCTTTCTTTTTTTTCCTGCCCCAGCCGGTCGCGCACTGCACATTTTCTCCACCTCCTCCTGCTACTCTTGCTGCTTCTGCTCAACCTGTTTTACTTTCCTCCCTCTCTCTCATTTTCCTCCTGCTCCTCCTTCTTCTGTCTGAAATGCCACCAGCCCTCCGGGCGTAGGTGGTTAAAGGGGGTTCCTCTTCCACCCCTCCCTCGCCCCCTTCGGGGAGGGGTTTACCCCTCCCCCTTACTCCCTCTCCTGGACCCGGGCGGGGCGTTTTACGGGTCGTTGGAGCGTCCAAAACGGCTTCGGCGAGGAAGCCACAATCATTGGTTTTACCATGGTTTTGGCACCATGTTGGTTTCTTTTGGGCTCCCGAGGGGTAGTGCGAATTGCGACCCTCCCCTTATTTGATCGATCTCATCCAATATGGCCCCGGGAGGTGGCCAGGAGGCCCCAAGAGGCCCCATGATGGCTCCAAGACCCAGGAGGCCCCCAAGAGGACCCCAAGCGGCCCCAGGAGGCCCCCCCCCCCGAGGCACCGAAGACGCCCAAGAGCTCCCTGGGACCGCAGAGAGACCCCCAAGACGTCCCAAGAGGCATCCACCAAACACCCAAAATATACCGCAAGAGTCTACGAGAGGCATCCAAGAAACCTCCAGCCTTTTCGCTTGCCCTCCTCCTTCTGCTCCCACTTCCTCCTCCTCCTCCTCCTCCTCCTACTCCTTCTCTCCCCTCCTCCTCGTCGTCATCATCATGTCAATCTTCCTTCTCCGCACTTCCTCATTCATCCATCCAGCCTCCTCCTTCTCCTCCTCCCTCCTTCGCACGGTTCGGCCGTCCACCTCTTTGCTTCTGCATTTCCCTGATCATCCCAACTCGCCTGGACATCGTTTCTGGATGGGCTGGCGGGGATACTTTTTGATCGCGACCGCAGGCGGGCACCCGCGCGGCGTCCGAAAGTCGTGCGAAGAGCGCAAGCCCTGCTGTCGCAAGCGAGGCGCGGACAAAAAAGGGTCACGGAGGTGGCGAAGCTACCCAAAGCAGAGACAGGGGCGGACGAAAGCGAAGAGGATAATGATAACGAAAGAGAGAAAGGAAAACGAGACCAAAGAACAGAGGGCTAAGCCGCAGCTCGGGCGCAAACCAAGTCGTACACGACCGCACGTTCTCGAACAGCCTGTACTCGTCGTAACTCTCAACGTACCGGAACCAATCCACTCGGATGCGGTGTCGCGAGAGGCGAAGAGACCACGAAATCGACCTACGGCGGTGGTCGCGGGCGGTAGCGTCGGGCTGTTGCAGCCGGCGACCCATCAGGCCACCTCCAGGGCCAGCGCGGTCAAAGTGCAGAGATCCTCACATTCCTCGAGCCCTGGGGGGAGCAAGAGGGAGGGGGCCCGACCAAGAGAGGCAGCAGAGGCTGGTGGGGATACGCGAAGTGTTCATAATTCCTCCCTATCTTCTATACTTTACCCTGGTCCCCCTCCTTCTTCTCCCCTCGATGCCTCCCCATCATGCTCCTCCGTGTCCTACGTGTCCTACCAAAGCAAGTCCAGCAAAACCAGCCGAACTAGCTTAACCTGCTGCCGAGCAGGACCGACCCCGAAGCAGGAAGCCTATGCCTCCTCAACCTCGGGCCCCGACGAATTTCCCCCCTCGTCGGGCCCTTCGTTGGGCCCTCCGCCGCACGGGGCGCCGAAGAGGGGGAAAGGGAGCCCCCAGAACCTGTTGGACTGGGGCTCCCGTCCAGGCCTCAGTCGCCCCAACGCCATTCTGGCCAGACGGGCCGCCGACCGAGGACGGGAGGCGAAGGGGCGGCAGGGGCGACCGAGGTCGTGGACCTGTCTTCTGGCGTAGGCCCCGCAGACCCTACAGAAGACGATCAACCCCCTCCCATTAGCCTCGTCACCAGGCCCCCGACCCCCATCCCCACGCACAACCCAGAGCTTATGGGAGGGGTGGGCGATCGCCGCGGGCCGAGGCACTCCTGGGCAGGGAGACGACGCAATCCTAGATCGGAGTCCCTTCCGAACCCCGCAGATTTTACATCCCCAGGCCCGTCCGAACCTCAGAAGCGAGTGCCCGCGCTCGCCCGAAACAAGGGCGACAGAATTGCGGGACGGCCTGGGGCGGGGGAGGGGGCTCCGATCGGGCCAGCCTAGGCCTGCCAACCTTTTCAAGACCGCTCCGCGATGGGCGGCGATCAATTCCGCGGCACGTGTGGCCGCGCTCACCCTGCTCACCCTCTCCATCACGGCCTCGAACGACGGGTGCAGCCTGGCGCCCTCCTTGGCCTTGCTGTCCGCGCACTTGTTGCCGCGGTGCCAGGCCCAGGGCGTCCCCGCCGATGCTGCTGCGGCCCAGCTGGTGTGGGCTCGGACCCACCGTAGGCGGAACGCCTCTGGCCCCAAGTCTCTGATGTGCCTCCAGGCCTCCTTCCACAGGTCGGCGTAGAGCGACTCTGGGCCCTGGCACCAGTCCTCTCCTCTTTCGTAGTCCTCCACCAGCCGCAGGTAGTCCGTGACCACGTCCAGCTGGGGGGCCCTTTTCCCTGAGCACTCGCACCAGCGCGTAGAGCTCGGCGTAGCCGCTCTCCTGGACGGGCCCTGGTACACTACCGAACATCCCGCCCGTGATGGTGCCGTCAGCCTCCACCATGATGCAGGACCACCCGCTCCTGGTGAGCTCCTTGACCTCTGGGGCCATCGCCGAGCCGTCGATGCAGGCCGTGCCGCAGGCCAGTCCCCCGATGAGGGCTCCTCCTCGGCGGCAAGCCTCCTGCTCCGCAGGCCTCGGAGCCCTCTCCAGGCCGAGGCTGACCAGGCACCTGACGAGCCCGATGTCGCCGTCAGGGGCTGCCGCGCCTGCTCTCCTGACCTGCTCCAGGTCCATGGCCGCCGCGATGCCGCTGGTGCCGTCGCAGCGCCCCTGGCTCCGCGCCGCACAGCCTGCACTCAGGCCTAAGCACTGCCCGTTCGCGATACAGATCAGCTTCAGTCACCAGGCCGCCGCAGACCAGCGCCTCGAACAGCGCCACCTGCTCGCTGTCACCCTGCCTGCGCAACGCCGCGACCGCCCGCTGGGTGGCCTGGATAGTCGGCGGCCCGCCAAGCGCTCCTCCAAGGTGCTCGCTGTGCAATCTCACCATCATCGAGCGCTGGATCCCCGCCTCGATGAACTGCCGCATCCTCCTGGGGCTGTAGACCTTCAGGTCGAGCTGCTCCCCAGTCCGTGACCCAGCATCTCCAGCCAGCCGCAGCGGCAGGCTCCCACCCAATCCTGCGGAGGGTGAGCTTGACTGCGTCGGCTGGCCCTCGCACCTGGCCCCAGGACTCTGGCTGCGCCGCGCTGAAGGCCTTCTCGAGGCTCCCGTCACTGCGCAGGCCAAGGAAGACCGCCTTGGCCCACGCCTCCAGTGGTAGACTGTTGGCCGCGAAGACGGGGTCCGCCTTCCAGCCCTGGTCAGGCTGCAGCGCGAACTGCAGCGTTCTGCTCTTGCTGCCCACTGCGCCCGCCAGCGCCTGGCCGTTGACCACCCTGGCCTTCTCGAGCATCGCCGTCGGGACCCCGACGACCCGAGCTCCGTGGAGGACCGAGGCCAGCCCGCCACTCCTGAAGATCCTGCCCAGCTTGACGCCCGCCCGCCTGAGCGTCATGTATCGTGACGAGCGGACGGCCAGCCTAGCCATGCGGCTCCTCGACACCGACCATGACGCCCTGGGCTTCATGCCGAAGTCGACGCCTAGGTTCTTGACCGCCCGACGCAGCCTGAAGTCCCAGCGCCGCAGTCGGTGGGCCGCGCGCCGTCCTGCACTCTCGTCGCTGCTCACGATGTTGCCCTTCGTCAGGGACACCATGAGCCCCAGCGCCTCCAGCCTCTGACAGAGGTCCCTGGTCGCGCCGAAGGCCGTGAACTCCACGCCCCTGAGCTTCCAGTAGACGGCCAGCGTGATGTCGTCGACGGCCACGTAGGCCCTCAGCGACGTCAACTGGGCCACGACCGCGTCCATCGCGGTGAGGAGCACGACCCTCAGGAGCGTCGTGGCGCACCCACAGCCCGCAACGATCGAGCTCCCGATCCTGATCGCATCCGTCTTCCAGCGGCTGAGACTGAGCCTCCTCGGGCCGCCGTAGCTGCGGAGGACCAGCTTCAGCCTGCGCAACCTGAAGCCGCGGCGGCGAGCAGCTGCAACCAGCCCCTCGTGAGTGACCCGCTCGTAGGCCTTCGAGAGGTCCGTCATGGTCGACATGGAGTGCTGCTCCATCGCCGCCGCCACGCTGGCATCGTGGACCTGGAGCCAGACCGCGTCCTCACAGGACTTCCCCGCCCCTCCGAAGAAGTAGTCCCGCCTATGCCCCGACTCCCACTCGACCGCGTCGATCCTGCGCAACCTCCCCAGCAACCGAATGAGGCTGCAGAGCAGCCCAATCGGCCGCCAGCCTCCGTCGGGCTTCGCCAGGAAAAAAACCAGCAGGGTGTTCACCTGCTCGGGCATACGGCAAGATGCCTCCAGCACCAGCAGCAGCAGCCCGAGCGCTTCCAGTCCTCCGTCGCTGAGGTGGCCGAACGCTTGGGGCTTGATGGCGTCCACCCCGAGGGCCGTGGACGGCTTGAAGGAGCGCGCCGCCTTGCGGATCTCCTCTGCCGTGGGCGCCTGCCCTAGCCCCTCCAGGTGAGCCTCTGGCAGGGCCTCGTCAAGGTCCATCGGCTGGATCTCGCCGTGCCGCCAGATGTTCTGGCACTCCTCCAGCAGAATGTCGAGGGTGGCCGCGATACCTGCAGGCCCGTCGTCGCCATCCTGGTCGGCTGTCCAGCCCTGCGGCGCTCGGCAGAAGGCGTGGGCGGCCCCTTCCGCCGTCCCGCACCGCCTCCTTTGGCCCAGGCGCGCCAGCGCAGGTCTCGACCTTTGGCGCAGCCAGCCTCGAGCCGACCTGCGATCTCCCTGGCCTCGGCCTCGAGCTCCTCGACCTCCGCGAAGGTGAGCTCCCACATCCTCCGAAGTCGCCTCCTCCACTTGGCAGC